AGCGGCAGTTTATTCAACAAAGTGAAATCGTTTTTTTTTTTATAAAACTATTAGTAGATTTTTGTTAATTTACTAATATTTCCTTTAACCATCCCAATTAAGCTCTCGTATTGTGCTAGGATATGGTTCACGACAGTCGAATGGCGGGATTTGAACTCTCGACCGCAAGATCGGTAGAACGCACCCCAAACTATTAGGCTATTGGCGCTTAAATAAATTCTAAATATACTTTAGTTAATTACTATTTATTATATCCGTATGCTTTCTTTGTCTTGTGTAAAATAAAATAAAATTTTTAAATACATTCCGTACCATTTTGACCATGATAAATATCCCAATATTAAAAATAGACCAGTCCTACGAAGACAAATTTCAAGTTAAGCTGGACTTCAAACAAGAGGACTAAAATAAACATTTCTAATACAACACGATGTCGCATCGAAATTAAGACGTTTTTAAAGTTCCCCTCGTGTCCTGGCGAGCTTTAGTTAGGATGTTTCGCATTTATCAAGATTTATGGATCGTTTATTTCTTTCAAATTGATTGCAAACATTAACTTGTTTTTTTTTCCTTCTCTTCATCAAAGGAAAAAATCTTCGTGTCAAATAAAACGTGATACGGTAAATGTTTGTTTAATTTGAATTATTATATGTACTTACACTTGTTAGAACATTCTTAATTTATTACTTCGGATTTTCGAATCCGATAAAATTTATTTTATTCGTAAAATGGATTTTATCATCATCATCATGTCACCCTTCTTGCAATCCATCCATCTCTTTTTAGGACTACCTCTACCGGTGTACTGCCACACTCATAACTAACGTCCTCCTTGTTATGCGATTCATCCCTCCTCATAACATGTCCCCATGCTAACCTTTTACTCCTTACCTTGTCTACCACTGGAACTACTCTCAAAATACAAATAGATTTTATAAGGCACTAAAAATTAAGACTTTAAACAATCAACGCAAAATACAACTACAGTAATACAGCTAAATGTAATTAGTATTTTTACTAAGTTTTAAAGGTTTCAATAACCTTTTCTTTTTAATACGTATTAAGTTTATTACTAATCAAATACATTTAAACTTAATGGAATATAAATACAAAATCACGTAAACATAAAACTTAAAGCTACCGAAATTAGTGTCCTTTGATGTTCATAAAATTAAATTTTAAAATGTAACAATAAAATACTATTACAGAAAACATCAAATCAAATACATAAAACCGACAAATTCTCATTAAAACTCCATCCAGTGAAGCTAATAACCGCTGCGACTATTAAGAAATTTTATCTTTCAAAAGGCATCCGAAAGCGACAGTTAATTTCTCGTGACATAAATAAAAACAGAACTAGAGAGGAGGGCTTCAGCGTTCCCTCGTAGGAAAAAAATAACAAACATATCTCTCAAAGTAAGAAAACAAACAACGTATGTTAACATCTGTCGGGGCACGAGCGGGTACAGTCGTTAACTAAAGTTTCGTAGGTTTTTTTTGTACATTTTTTTAATCAAAATCAAAGCACGGTACAGTTTTGTTATAGAAATATCTTACTAGTATTATAAATGCGAAAGTTAAGATGGATGGATTGTTAGAGTTTGTAGCCTAAACGGCTGAACCATTCTCGGTGAAATTTGGTATAGATGTAGAGGATAGTCTGCAGACACATAGGCTTTTCTCTTTTGTATTTTATATTTCCACGCGGCCGGAGTCGCGGGCGAAAGCTAGTGTGTTATAAAAATGAAATACTAAAATTTATAGTAAATCCAAAGTTTTTCTTTAAAACTAGAAGGTGTGAAATAAACCAATAATATGTTAATTTTAGATAATTTCTGTTTCAATTCGTTTAGTAAGGAAAAATGTTAAAATATTGTTAGTGGTTTTAAGTTGTTTCCTACAAGAATATAACTTAGATTGATAAAGAAAGTTTAAGTAAAACTTGTTGAGAAGTGCTATTCAATTTTTCCATGTACTTACAAAGATGCTAGTTTTGTATCACTTTGATAGGCCACTTGGAAGTAATCTCATGAAAAACAACTAACTTTCGCCCGCGACTCCGTCCGCGTGGAATTAAAAAAACAACAGTGAGTAGCCTATGTGTTCTTCCAGACTATCTTTTACATTTATACCAAATTTCATCCAAACCCGTTCAAACGTTTAGGTTACAAACTCTAACATCCATCCATCTAAACTTTCGCATTTATAATATTAGTATGATTACTACCAATACTTCAGTATTTAGCCTAAATTAAAGTGAATTACTTTTGAAGAACCCAGGGTTTTTGCATATTATTTGTCTTCTTACTTCTTACAAATACTATAAATGCGAAAGTTTAGATGGATGGATGTTAGAGTTTGTAGCCTAAACGTTTGAACGGATTTGGATGAAATTTGGTATAGATGTAAAAGATAGTCTGGAAGAACACATAGGCTACTCACTATTGCTTATTTTTATGCCACGCGGACGGATTCTTTTATAATAATGTATAAAATATTCGTTCGACTTCTAAAAAAATATAGCCTATGTTATTTACAGATATAATTTTTCTACTGGCGAAAGGGTTATTTAAATCAGCTCAGTAGTTTTTCAGTTATTTCAATACATACAAAAACACAAAAATATAAATCTTTCCTCTTTATTAGTATAGATTACTAAGTTTTGTATGCGAGTGTACAGCCGGGTTCGAAATTCTATACGTCAGTGTTGATTGCAGTTAATTATAAATTCGTATCCCTCTTATTGTCTATACTATTTTTAGTCTCAACTTACAAATGTAGTGGCATTTTATATTCACTCTTTTGTGATACGCTTAAAGTTCTTTTTTCTTTGACAGAAAAATTCATTCAATTTGTTAAATCTGCGAAGATCTTTAAGTCAAAGTGGAATCAGTTTTACTTGTGGTTCGTAAGAGTACTAAAGTGTCAATTATATAAGCTGGTGGACACATTTGACTATGACTTCTATGATTTCTATAAGCTTATATGGAGGTGCGCACACTACTCGATTTTTAGTTGTACAACTAAACAGTTGAATTGGCTGCGAAATAATCGACAATCTCACAATATTTTAACGATAGTTTAGTCAAAAATGTACGCTGGCCTATATTATGAATGCGAAAGTTTATATGGATGGATGTCAGAGTTTAAAGCCTAAATTGCTGAAAGAAACTCTAAAAAATTTAGCACATATGTAGAACAGATGTCTGAAAAAACGCACAGGCATTCTAAGGTTTTTTTTTTAAATTGCGGGCGGACGGAGTCACGTCCAAATGCTAGAAGTTATGCTACTAGTTATAAGTAAATGCAAGCATTTTTATCTGAATTAATTGTCTAATTTGTTTCGAAAATCAAGATTAAGTCGGAATATAAGGCTAATTTTGCTTAGATTTCCTAAGGACTGTAGCAAATTGTTTAAGAATTTATGATAATTTATAACTATACTAATATAATACGTCGTATAAAATGTATTTTTTTTATAATAAAGAGGAGAGATTTTTATTTTTGGATTTTTGCATGTATTGAAATAACACAAAAACTACTGGGCCGATTTCAATAATTCTTTCAACATTTAAAAGCTACTTAGTAGTCCACAAAAGCTGTTAAGCGAAAGACCAGTTCGACCTGTGCATTACCATGACCAAAGAGACAGGCGGAACTGAAGGTAGTTTCAAATTTTAGTATTTTTTAATTGCTTCCTAAAATAACCATAATTGATTTTAATCTTATAATTTTTTTTAATCTTATAATTTCAAATAAATCTACGAGATGTTTTTGTAATTATTTTTCACATACAAATCTTTATTAATAACCCTTTGTAAGATTTTAACGACGGCCTAAATCAATATTGTTAATGTTGACCCTTCTACAGCCGTTGTCTAAATATTTAGATTTAATTTTAATAGGATCAAAAGGTATTGCTAAATAAATTACAAGCTAATTCCAAATTATAATTTGAATAACACGAAATGTCAAAGTTAATTTAAGGTTACAAAAATTTATAAAACAAGTGACGTCACAACACTAAAACAAGTTAAAGTTGCATTGCTGATAAGCACTGACCTCTATAAATAGATAGGGCATATGCGGTATTTCGTCTTCGATTATCGCTATATTAGTGATGGTTGTGATGACGTCAGTTTACCAGTAGTAGAGACCGCTTTAACATCTTTGCACGAATAGGTCGGCATGCCCGGTATAATACCACAAAGACAGACGTGGTTGGAGCAATCTCGCGTTTTGTCTGATGAGTGCCTGACAGAAACCCAACTTTACTTCCCTTTCCTTCCCACCTATTTGCTTATAAGAATAGGATGTGAAGGGAACGTGGATTTGACGGTGCAGGAGCCGCATAGGAAAGGGGAAATATCCTCCTTATGTGCGTCTCCTCTTCCGTCGATTAAGGGTAGGCAACGCATCCGCTATTGCGGATATCTATGGGTAGCGGTCGCTTCACCAGTTCAGGTGGCCGCTTGCTCGTTTGCCACCTTCATTCATTTGGTTGCGATCAGTCATTAACATAAAAATGCACGTAATCGAAGCGAATCGACTGTAATTTTAAAACAATTGACTATCTATGCACAAGATCAGTGCTGATAAGAAAAAGTCTTATTAGAAAATTTAATTTCCTTTGTCTCTACACCTTAATGTTACATTAATCTTTAGTACGAGTTATTGAGATAATGAAACATTATCAACACAAACAAATTTTATGAAGAAAATGCTTATGTGGTAATATTATAAAAGGTTCCCTCAGGGATTTATTACCCCTTTGTTCATGCCTTAATGTTTACTTTGCATGCGTATCGCTTACAGATTTATATTTTAATTGCTTCTTCACACAGGGTTAGTGGAGATTTTTGGACCGCTATTGGATGCGAATATCTCTCTCTCACTAGCGACCTTTGCGATTTCTATCTTATTTCTCCCTCTAACAGATACTTAGTTGGCACGGGACGTATCCCTTATGTAAGGCAGTGCTTTTCCTCGTTGCGCCGAGAACAGACGTGCGCTCGACTACATAAAATAACAACGAAACATGCCGAACTGTGTATTTTATAAAACCGTGTTAACACTTAACTCTTCATGTGAAATTTTTCTAGTTATCTAAAATATAGTGCTATATAATAAGTGATTAAAAAGTGAAGAAATATATGTAGAAAATTAATATAAGTCATATAAAAAGTTTCAGTAATAGATAATAAACATTTTCGTTAGAGATATTCTTTGTATGATGATGACCTTTCGATGGGTTTGTTTAAAATCGATTGATCTAAGATCAGTTTTCTGTATGAATATAACTTAAATAAGATAAAAATAAACCGTGCGTCTCGCAGGATCCTTAATATATGAAGTGGCATTAATTTTAAAAGCCGAAAGTGTCATTTGGTTATTTGTCAACGAGTTAATTACGGACGAGAATAAATGTTGACTGATTTAGTGGGGAAAGGTGGGCTTGTTACAGTTGAGACATGATGCTATTGGATCATTTAGTTTAAAAAGCAAATAAAAAACTAAGGGAAAAAGTGACAATGTAAAGTAGTGAAAATTTATTAATAACTAGTTAATTATTAAGTGATATTTGACAAGGAATTGAATTTATGAAGATTAAAATGGCAGATAATTGGAAGAGGATGCTGCGGCATTCAAATGTGTTGAATGCTATACTTTTATTCATCACAATGATATATGGTAAGTAAATAATCATTTACATATTAAATATTTCTTAACACAGAGAGCACTATGGGATTGACTTTGTTTTTTTTTAACAATGGATTTAATAAATTAAAAATAAAATGTCATTAAATTATTTATCTCATTATGAAGTCGGATTTTTCTTTTATCGTTAAATTTATTTTCATTAAAATGATTCTTATAAGGTTTAATAACTTAAAGTTTGATTCATGAATAATATCCATAGATTTATCAAGATTAGAGTAATCGTCCTTTTTAAGAGACCTTTGCAAAATTAGAAAAAAAATGATTACTTCTTATTAGAACTTATGAAATGGCGTTCATTTCTATCACTTTCTTTTTACTAAAGATGTTCAAATCCTAGATAAGATTCTGCAAAATTTAGCATTTTCGAATACACGGGTTAGGTTATGTTAGGTTAGAAATAAAGCGTAAACATCTTTATTATGTTAACTGTATACATAATTAAATAATTTACTATACTTAAATTTTTATTTTATTGAATAAAAATTTGAGTTAAGAATATTTTATTCAAATATGTGATGTTATTGCTAACTAAATATCAGATCAGTTGTCTGAAATAATTTTCACCATATTTATAAGAAAAGTAGCTTTTCTGTGATTCCGTCTGATAAAACAAAAGAAAGTAGCCTATATGTTCTTCCAGACTATGTTCTACTTCTATGCCAAATTTCTTCAAGATCCGTTGAACCGTTTACGCTACAAACTCTAACAAACATCCATCCATCTAAACTTTTGTATTTATATTACTATAAAGTAAGCCAACATCAACATATTCTAAAAATTAATATGTCACTTACATATATAGTTTCTTATTATTCTCAAATTGTTCTATAATCTAATTTGCTTTGTACTTAATAATAGAGATCGAAATTCGACATTTCCTTTCTTCCTATTACGAAGTTTAGTTAGGAAATAATTTCGCTTCCTTGTCAATTAGGAAAGTTTTAAATGGAAGCAGAATTTTCAGGATGTCATAATCAAGTGGCGCGCTCTGGCGAGGAAATTGTGTAAATGCACTTAGAGTGCCTTGACGCTTCAATGAATGGTGACTTTGTGAGAAAAGTTTTCATTGCTCGGCCAATTGAGGTCTGCAGCCTGAAGTCACTTTGCTTGCAATATGATTCCAAGGGCAAATTTGTTACAAGCATTTTATTACCAACTGTACTTGTCTCTTTTGATTTTCTTTTAATGATGTATTTAAATAAGATGTTACATATTTGTGTGCTAAATATTAAAAATGCTAAACTTATTTCTTATAAAGATTCAAATTATTTATACAAGTTTTTTTTTTACAAGTTGGAAGTAATTAAAAATTTGCGTATATTACCGTACATGTACCCGCAGACTTAATTAGACATCTGCAAAGCTTTCAGTCCAAAAGCTCGAGCGTTTTATTTGCTTTCAACGGTTTGCATAATAATAAATACTTTAAAAATGTCGCATTCAAGACTCGAAAGGCTTTTGTTCCATTTAAAATACTCACTAAAGGTAAAGTTCGGTGTTACAGTTTTTATTTACGATTTAGTGATAAAATTGTTGGGATTTTTAAATAAAACATTAAAGCTTATGTCTATACTAATATTTTATTTTCATTTTTATTTCATTGACATGGTTTGTGAGTTTTTTTTTTGTAATTTTTTTGGTCGATAAATATATGTGTTTTATTTTTAATATTATAAAGAGGAGAGATTTGTATTTGTATGTATTGAAACAACTCAAAAACTACTGATTCGATTTAAAAAATTCTTTCACCATTACAGAGCTACGCTAGCGCTCAGTAACATAGGCATAATTTTTTTGTACAATTCTTAATTTCGCGTGTACGAAGTCGCGAGCAACAGCTAGTGTCTTTATGAAAGAAATGGATGGATTGCGTGAAAGAAGATATGATCAAAAAGGGAGTGATGACTGAGATGACGTATGATAGAGTTATTTGGAGGACAAAAATCTGTTGTGCCGACCCTACGGGAGTAGGAGTATGGTAAGGAGTCATAATGTCCTCGAACAACGTTTATGACTTAATCTAATTGGAGTAATCGGAAATAGATCCATTATTAAACATTCGTTTACCACAGATTATAAAAAAGGTCAACGACCTCACGTTTCCGCTTTGTTTTTCTACAATCAACTACGCGTTAGATCTTATATAGTCTGCAATCTTTTGAATAAAACCGGGTCGTTCGTTAGCACGCAGTTGCGGTTACCTATTGAAAGAGAAAAGTTTAGTTTCCTATTTCCTGATATGCTTTTCTCATCTTTATAAAACGAGTTAAAACGCAACTAGGTAGATTAATTATTGACAATAAAACGTTTTTAATTCCCTTTTTTTAGATAAATTTGCCGTCTTTCAAACCGAATTTGTTAGCGTCTGAAGATTTAATAAAGTTTTTTCAATAGTCTATCAGTTAATAAAAGAGACGATTTTATGATTTAAAAAAAACCTGTTTCATTCATATTGTAAGATGTAGATTATTTAAAAGATTGCATAAACACACTTCTCATCATCATCATCCACTTGCCCTTATCCCTTACGGAGGGTCGGCACAGTATGTGCTGCTTCCATACATCTCTATCAGCCATCATATCTGAATCCACTTCTTGCTTAAGCATATCCTCTTTCACACAATACATCCATACATTCTTCAGTCTTCTTCTACATAAACACACTTCTAATCGTACTAATATAAATACGAAACGTATTCTGTACTTCGATACAGATCAAGTCGCGGGTAAAACTTAAAACCTAATTCCTAATGATCTAGATTAACACTAACAGAGCGTCCGAAGTCCATCAAAGGCATAATTAAGCAACGAACAATACCGTCTCCGTTGAATACTTGAACTTTCAAAGCTCAACTCGCGTCAGACTCGGAGATTTCATTGTACAGAATAACGATAATCTGCTCCTGCGACACTTTACATATTAAGCTTGAATACAACTTAGTAAGTTACAAAGTTGAGAACGTATGTATTATAACAAAGTATAAACGAGCATTTTAACACTTAACATAATTAAATGACTTTGCCTATGTCAGAGACTACCTAGTAGGTAGTAAGTCAAATAAAAAGATGTAGGCAGAAATTATGGATTTTCATTTGTAAATATGTATGTATGTTTAAATGTATGGATATA